TTCATGTTAGTACTAGTATTAATATTAGTATCTGTCAGTACTGTTATTGATGTTAGTGTTAGTATTAATATTTATGTTAGTGTTAGTATTAATACTAGTATCAGTGTTAGTAGTGTTAGTATTAGTACTAATGTTAGTACTTGTATTAATATTAGTATTAGCATTGGAATTGGTATTAATATTAGTGTTACTGTTAGTATTAGTATTAATATTAGTATCAGTGTAATACTAGTATTAATATTAATGTTAGTATTAATAGTAGTGTCAGTGTTAGTATTAGTACTGGTGTTAATATTAATGTTGGTATTAATATTAATGTTAGTATTAGTAATACTGCCAGTATTAACATTCATGCTAATATTAGTACTTGTGTTAATACTAGTACCAGTATTAGAACTGGAATTAATGTTAGTGTTACTATTAGTTAGCATTGGTGTTAATATTAATGTTAGTGTTAGTTTTAATATCATTGCTAGTATTAGTGTTCATATTAGTATTAATATTAGTATCTAGTATTTTTGTCTTGTGTAATGGACAGAACAGTGGTTAGAGGAATACTCCTTGAAAAAAGTGCCTATTCCTGGTGTACACACAGGGTCCTTCTCAAACTTCCAATTACCTTTTGGACTAAACAAACACAAGAATATCACAGATTGAGAGTTTGGAAATGCCCTTCAGGTTTCATTTATTCATTTGTTCATTCAAGTATTTATTAAGTGCCTACTGTGTTGGAATATGTCAGGATACAAGACCACCTCTCTCTTTTTACTCCTCTCTTTTTACTATTAGGAGACATCTTGTTTCCCAGAGCTAAGGCCCAGCGAGCAAGCTGTGCCCTGAGCTTGGCATCACAACAATCTTTTGCACTCACTCTCTGCATAAATTCTGCTGCAACTAAATCACAGAACTGATGGTCCTTGAGCTCAGGCAAGCACCAAAAGGCCCAGACATGAAGTCCTACTATGGGTCGACTTTTTGTCACTAGGTAACCTCACCATGGCTGTTGTGCCTCACCACTGTTGCTGCACTACCCTGTCTGATTGTTTGTCTAGGCACAAATATATAAATCAAAAGTTTTAGCCCCACTGGCCTGGGTCTCCTGCTAGAGGAAGCCCCAGCACATTTGTCTAATTTCTCTCCCCTGGAGTAAAGAAAGCTTTTTGCTTTTAACCTGGGTGAGCTACTTGGTATTTTTAGAGTTTACAGTGGTTGCAAAATCTTTGTGACTTTTTGGTCATTTGTTGCCAAGAGCTGACAGATACAAAGACAGAGTGAGAAATCGCCCTTGCCTTCAAGGACTATTGAAATTATGTCGTTGTTGATCCTTTGTTTTAAAAGAAGACTAATGATATCACGATGTTGGGGTAAAATAGAGGATGATGAATGACATCTTGACTTGCCCATGAAACTAGTGATAAGCTTGCCTGCTTCCCAAGTGTGTGTGAGAGTGTGAACTAATAATTTCATCCCACTTTAAGGAAGTTATGAAACATAAATCAATAAAATTCTCTTTCATTTAGCTCCTGAGCCCCCAAAAGAAACTATTCAATGTTCAATCATTTTCAGTCATGTCTGACTTTTTGTGACCCCAGTTGGGGTTTTCTTGGCAAAGACACTGGAGGGGTTTGCCATTTCCTTCTCTAGCTCAATTCACAGAAGAGGAAACTTAGGGTAAACAAGGTGAAGTGACCTGCCCAGGGTCACATAGTTACTAAGTATCTGAGGCCAGAATCGAACTCACAAAGATGAGCCTTCCTGACTCCAGGCCTGGCACTCTACCCACTGTGCCACCTAGCTGCCCATAAGGAAGATCCTAGAGTTCTCTAACAGAGACTCTATTTCTTCTATTTCATTCTCTGTCTGTGTGACATACCAGTCACTGCCTCTCTCTCTGACGTCTCATTCCCAGTCATGAAACACATTCAAATCAGAAATAGCTATACTCAGTCACATTTGTATCTCATGTTAGTTTTCAATATTAATTGAATGGAAACAGAATTGACCTTTAAAAAATCACATAACCTTTGAACTTCATAGGATCTCTAAAGCAGAAAGGTAGAGAGACAAAACATACAAATGACATACATCAGTTCTCTTGTATTGGTCCACAGATACGTTTGTTATGTTGGTATGGGGTTGCTCCCCCAGCCTTGCTGGGAGTAGGCAGCAATGACAGTGCTCTAAGTTCAAATGGTAGTTACCCCACACATTCCCTAATGTAGGATCTCTGATGCAGTTCAGCACCTATTCTGCAATACCTATAGAATTGTCTGAGAGGATTTCTTGGAGCACTCAGAAGTTAAGTGATTTGCCCAAGGTCACATAAACATGGGCTTTATATGCCCAGAGGTGGGATTTGAACCACAGTCTTCCTGGCTACACACACACACACACACACACACACACACACACACACACACATCATGAAGTATATATAACATATAATATATCAATCAAGCTTTAGCCTCATTGCCCTGACTCAGTGGATAAAGCACTGGGCCTGGAGTCAAGAAGACCTGAGTTCAAATCCAGCCTCAGATTTGGGGGTATGACTTTGGGCAAGTCACTTAACCTCTGTTTGTCTCAATCCACCAGAAAACAAAATAGCAAAACACTCTGGTATCCTTGCTAAGAAAACTCCATGGAAATTATGGTCCACGGGATTAAGAAGAGTTGGACATGACTGGATAACAACATAAACAGGTAGGTTTTTTTCTCCTCCTTTTTCCTTTTTAATTTAAAGCCCTTTTGATTAGGTTTGCAAGACTTCAGGTAAATATTTTATTACTAGTCATCATTAGTATACTCCACACCTGGTCAGGTGCCTGTCATTCTTATATTTTAAGTTGTGGTCGAGAAATCTAAACCCCCTTCTTAGATGCCATCTTCTTAACCAGATGTTCACTCTCAAAGTCAGTTTTTCTCTTCTGAACTCCTTGCCTTTGAGAAACTGAGCAGCAGTGATGAAAATAGCACCTGTGCCCCTTAAGGTTTTCATATAATCTTGAGCAATGCTTCCTCATACAGGGAATGAGCCTGCTGGGATTCAGTCCTGGAAACTGAGGGATACTGTTTCCACTAAGTACTGGGACACTTCCCAGCTGGCTTCAATGACTCCATAGCCTGGATTGGCATTAACTGGTGGAAATGAGTCAAGGTGCTGGAGTAGGAATTTTGAAGGAGAGAAGGAGGATAAAGTAACCGTAGCTGGGTCTACAGTATATACAGTACTCACTTATCCCCGTTCTGCTGGTGAGTGAGTAGGCACCTCCTGTGGTTCTAGTCATTAGCATATTAACAGAATGTCTCTTTAAGGTGCTTCGTATTTAGGGATAAACAGGTGCACAAGCCAGACATGGTGGAGTCCTCAGGCTTCTGAAGCTAGAAATCCTGATGTCCTTTCAGTGCAAGCACTAGCTACCCAGATAATCCCTGAAAGTAGTCCCCTGTTGCTGGCCAGCAACCATCTGTGATATGAGATTTCATCTACCCTTAATAGGAAGACTCCTAATCTACACTCATTGCCATTCTGTCCTGACCTCACGCTTACTTCTCAACACTTTACAACCTGGATTCTGAGCCCACTACTTATCTAAAACTATCTTCTACAAAGTTACCAACCATCACTCCATTGCTAAATCTGACAGCCTTTTCTCAGTCTTTATTTTCCCCCACTCTGTCCCTTTGCATTGGGTACCCCCAACTTGTACCTAGAATGCTTTTCCACTTCTTCAAATCACTAGTTTCCTTCAAAACCTAGCTCAATGCCACCTCCTACGTGCCCTCCACTAGGTCGTCCCTACCTCCACCCCCCAAATCTTTGTGTTTATTTTGCATGGATCCTGTATATAGTTTTGCGTGTATATTTTTCTCTACATCTAGAATGAGAACTGTTTGAGAGCAGAGATTGTTTCACACTTGCACTTGTATTCCCAGCAGCTAGCACAGTGCTTGGCTTCTCTTCAGCTTTCCACACTATTGACCACTCTCTCCTCTTGAATGCATTCTTTTCACAGATTTTTATGACACTTCTCTTTCTTAGTTCTCCTCCTACCTGTTTTACCACTCCTTCTCCATCTCTTTGCTGAACTGTCATCCACATCTTCCTCCCTATGCATACTCAAGGATTCTGTCCTAGGGCTTCTTTTCTCTTCTCTCATTTCACTTTCTCTTTGGATGATCTCATCAGCTCCCATGGGTTTGTGGGTCATGCAGGAATAATGAGATTTCAGAGGATCAAACTTATCTTGGGGTTTATTGGGCAGCTAGGTGGTGCAGATTGAGCAGTGGGCCAGGAGTTAGGAAGACCTGAGTTCAATTTCAGCTTCAAACATTAGCTATATAACCCTGGGGAAATTACTTAACCCTGTTTGCCTCAGTTTCCTGATCTGTAAAATGCTCAGGAGAAGGAAATGGTAAACCACTCCATTACCTTTTCCAAGCAAATTCTAAATGGGATGGGGGGGGTGGCTAGGCAATGGGGTTAAGTGACTTGCCCAGGGTCACACAGCTAGAAAGTGTCAAGTGTCTGGTCTGAGAGGGGATTTGAACTCAGGTCTTCCTGATCTAGGGCCAGTGCTCTATACACTACGCCACTTAGTTGCCCCCCAGATGCCTATTGACATGTTTGGTGAGCTGGCTGCCTGCAACATCATATAGTATATATTCTATCAAATATAATATTACATGTTATATTTTACATGCGTGTTATTTAATATCATATTATGTTGCATAATTGTGTAATATTATGTAGTGTATATGGCAGTCCATATAATTATACGTTAGGTTACATATCATCGCATGTCACATTGGCTGCTTTGGCTCCCTAGTGCGGAAGCCCCCTCCACCCCCAAGGGCACAGCCCGGCATGGGGCGGGACCGCGGCCCGGCTCGTCCCTCCCTCTCGTCCAATAGGAACCCGCGCCGCCCGAGCTGCAGCCAATCCGCGGCGGACGCTGCGCCCCGCCCCCCCGGCTCGTGCGCCCTTTCACGACAGTCGGGCCGCGGCGCTTTGCGGCGGCCGCCGTTGCTTGGCGTTCGCGTGCTTCCTCTCGCTGTGCTGGACCTGAGGGTGGCGGCGGCCGCGGGGCCGGAGCCGGAGCCGGGGCCTGGAGCTGAGCCGGGCCGGACGCGCGGCCTCTGGGCTGGGATGAGCTGCGTCTTTGCAGGCTCAGGGCAGCGCCGGCCGAGCCATGGTGAGCCGCTTAGGGGCCGGAGGGGAAACTGAGGCAGCGGCAGCGGAGGAGCCCCAGGAAGCCCTGTGGGGCCGCAAGGCCGGAGGGCCTTCTGTTTCTCTGCGGGAAGGGGCGGGGGCGGAGCACGTGAATGGGGACTTGTCCAAGGTCACGCGGGCATGGGCGAGGGGGCAGAACCGGGATTCGAACCCAGGTCCCCAGCCACCCCCGGTAGAGAGCAGCCAGCCTGACCCCAATGTTTTACAAATGGGGAAACTGAGGCCTGGGAAGACTAGAAGAGATGTTATTTTAAGATTCTATAGCACAGGCCGTAGCACACAGTAGGCACTTAATAAAATGCTTGTGCCCCTTAAGTCACTTGGGATCTGAGGCCGTCTAGCCCAACCCCCTCATTTTACAGATGAGGAAACTGAGGCCCCCCCAAATGAAGTGGCTTGATTCGGGCCCAAGACAGACCTGAGTTCAAATCCTGCCACAGATCCCTCGGCCCCACGGTCTCCCTCTGCAATTTGGGGTGACGATAGCCCCCAGGTTGGAGGTTTACAAAGCTCTGATGATGTTCGCTGCTGCTCTTGAACTCAGGGCCTCCAGCTCCATCCCTCCCCCTCTCAGTTGCCTCATCTGTGAAATGGGCCTGAACCACCGGAGGAGAGGTGTCAAGCCCCGGAGCCAGATCACAAAGTCATTGAGGAACGTTTGACAAAATAAGCAAAAATGCCGCATGGCTCAGGGTCACTTATGGCCTGACTCTGCGGCCCCGGGGCGTATCTGTGACCCTGACACCTGGTGCTTAATAACTGTTTATTGAGTCATTCATTCATTTTGTGTGTCTCATGCGGGTATGTCTGGGGACATAGAGCTGTTTGTGTATTATGTGGCTATGCAAATGTGTTATGTGAATATACGCATCTGTTATGTGTATATGCTTTTGCTGACTTGGGCAGACCTGGTGCAAAGTGTAGCAGCTGCAGAGTAGCCAGTTAGGGCTCAAAAGTAAGGAAGAACTAATTGAATTGCAAGTGTCCCTGGGAATATATAACAGGCTGTGTGGGAAGGGAGGGAGGGGTTCCTTTCGGCTGGCTGACCACCCCTCAGGAACGTGGTTGAGGGAATTCTTGCTCTGCCTTCACTCGATGGCCTCTTCTGGTTCCTCTCAGCTCTGAAATTTAACTTAGACTTTAAATTTTTCCTGTGTCTTTTTTTCAAAGATCGCAGGTCCAGAGTCCCCTCTCTGTAATTGGAGTGGGAGGGGCTTGTGTAGATGAAAGCCTTCCATGCTTTGTCCTTTCAGTTAAACAGGGTTTTCCAATGATAAGTGTTTTTTCCTAGGGTTTGAGGAGGCTGCTGTGGGAAAATTAATTCCCACTGGATAAGATTTATTTGTTTTTTGCCTGGTAAGCATCTTCATTGACAGGCCCTGTTCTTTTGCAGTTAATTTCCATCCCAGTGGTATGTTCTACCTGTAGCATTAAGCTACACTGATATTTTAAAGTACTCATTTTAAAAGCCAAAAAAGTAAAAAAAACTTTTAAGTCTGAGAAGATCCTAGATTTAGAGGTGGAAGAGTCAGGGCAGTTTTAGAAATGTTCCTAACGTTGTAGATAAAAGCCAGGGCTGTGTTACTAACTTTTTTTAAAATAAGTTTTACTATTGAAATGTAAGCTGAAAACTGTAAAGAAGAGAAGTGGGGTGGGAAGTCATGTGACAAGGGGAAGGGAAGGAAAGGATGGAAGAAGTAACCGTTTTCTCCCTTCTCTAGGCCAGTACAATGGTAGCAGTGGGACTGACAATCGCAGCTGCAGGATTTGCAGGTTTGTAGAGGATAAGAGAGTGGAAGGAACATGGGGGGCCTGGGGCTTCCTTTTTACGTAAAGTTCTGTTCACTTTTTTGTTTGTTTTAAGGCCGATATGTTTTGCAAACAATGAAGCATATGGAGCCTCAAGTAAAGCAAGCTATTCGAAGTCTGCCAAAATGTGTAAGATTTCTTCTTTTCCTGCTTTTTCATTAAACTGTTTCAACTATGATTGTTGAGGGGGTGGGTGAGAGGGATGGACATTTCTAGGTGATGGTTAGACTCTTTTAGTTCGCAGTTCTACCCCTTCTTCTCCCCCACCAAGAGGACCTAGGTTGCTGAAGGGATCCCATGCCAGTAGACAAGCTGAACAAGGTGATGTCAGTACCAAGTTGCAAGTATAGTACCTGATGCTACTGATCTAGTACAGGGGTTCTTAACCTAGATTTCAGTGGGTCTGTGAACCTGGATGGGGAAAAAATTACCTCCTCATTTCAATGTAGTTGGTTTTCTTTGCAGTCCTATGTATTTTACTTTATGCATTTAAAACATGATTCTGAGAGGTGCATAGACTGCACCACACTGCCAGAGGGGCGTAGGACACACAAAAAGTTAATAATCTCTAATCTAGAAGAATACATGGAAGGTAGATGGGCACCAACTGGAAGGATGTCTTTTTGACCAAAATTAACCTTAGCAGCTTCTGTCAGTACTCTTACTTTCATCTCCAGAAAATTTGGTAGCCCAACCCTAGGGAATTGTGGTCAGATGAGGGGGCCCAGATCTCCTGTGCTCTCAGCTGTCAGTTAAGTTGTCATTCTTCTACCCATGGACCAGCTCCCTTCTTGGCATGGGGTAGATCCTAGTACAAGTAAGGCACCTGGTTTTAACCCCTGCATCCCAAAGTGCGGTCTGCTGTAACACCCACAGGTGACTGGTGATTCTGTATAGAATCTGTCAAGACAGTAATATAGTACTGTCAGGGTATTTCACAATGACTGTCTTTGGGATACAGCTTCAGTAACTATGTCTGGACCTGCATTTTCCTTCTCTGTAAAATGAGGGGCTTAGCTTAGATGACCTCTGAGGCCCCTCTCAGCTCCAGCTCCAGCTCCATCAGTATGATCCATCCTGATGGAATCAGAGCCCCTACCTCAGAAACCATACCCATGTACAAATGGCCCGCAGTGGGGAATGCACCTTATATCTGCCTCCTAGAAGTCTTACCTTGGAAGGCAGGTGCTCTAAGTCACCATGGTCAATGTCCCACCCCAGGATATAAAGAAAACTTTGTTCTGAGACACCACGCTTCCATCTGTGAGACTTGCCATCATCCCCAGAATCGGATTTCTAGAGTTGCAAGGGACATTCTTAGAGATATAGTCCAGACTTAATTCTCACCAGTGCACCCCCTCTCTGGGGTTTCTGAAAAGTGACCCTCTAGTGTTTGAGGTGTCTGTTGACAAAGAACTCACTACTTCCTCAGCTTCCACCTCAGCTCTTACAAGTCTTTCTCATAAGAGTGACTTGTAAGGGAGAGGTCTTCTTACTCAGTCTCCCAGCCTCAGATCTCCCAGCTTTCCAAACTGTTCACACGGCTGCCAGAATGATCCTTCTCAGGCTCCTCCTCCAGGAGAAGGCTCAGAGCCCTACATCTTTTGGTTGTGCGCACCTTCTCTCTCCCCCTCTCTCTCCCTTCCCCCCCCCCCCTACCCCACCCAAATGGATCTCCTCACTCTTCCCTCTACATGATCTTGTCTGCCTGACCTTGCTCAGAACACTGACTTGACTTCATGGCTCCAAATGTCACCTGATTCTCTTTCTGAGGCCACCAGGTGGAAACTGTCCCAAAATTACTTCGTTTGCTTTGTATTTACTTATTTGTGTATACATTGTATCTGCCAGCTGAGATCTAAGTTTTTTCCAGACAGTGACTTTTGTTTTTGTGGTCTCTGGCATCTAGGCCCATGGCTGAGGACTATAGGTACTTAATAAAGGTTGGTTGAATTGGATTTGAACCTAAGTATAGGACTTAAATTTTTGCAAATGCTAAATTTATCTTAGATTTGTCGCAGTATTGCAACCTGTTAAAACCTTTTGAGAACCTATTTCCATGTCACCAACCATCAGGGTCTTCATATAGAAGCTGCTGATTTAACATACTGAGCAGAGCAGAACTCTGGAACTCACCACCAGAGACTTTCCTCTAGGTTGACTATCAGCCTGTTCTAAATGGTTATTCAAACATTTCCATACCTACCTATCCAGCTAACATAACATGGAGATGTTGTCAGATGACATCTTGAAGTCTAGGTCTGCACCATCCCTTTTGTAGTTTTGTGAGCGGGACAAAGACAAGGTCAGTCTGACATTACTTGTGTGTAGTGAATCCAGAGTTTGCTCCTGGTCTTTCTTTTCCACGTTTTGCCGTCATTGATTCAGTTTAATGTTTCTCATATTTTACCAGGTATGGATGATCCCCTGTATTAGTATATAACCCAGTTTAATTATATATTTTAAAATGGGAGTGTTTTTGTGTTTCTAGTCCTATGGCGCCTCTGTTCTCCACAGCTGCCAAAGTCAAGCAATGACATCTGTGGGTTATTTAACGATCCTGTGATGTAATGTGCTCAGGCCAGCTAACTTTACAACATCTCAGAGTTAGAAGACACTTGTAAAATGAGGTTTGTATTCGGATACATCAGAAACTACCCAGTCCACCTGGTACCTGAGGTAGGCCTGTCTCTAATCATCTCTTGAGCGCTCCTGATCCCCTTGGTGTGAAGCCTTATCTTCAGGTTAGACTTCCCACGCTCTGGCAAACGGTCTTCATGGCCCAAGCTCCAGTCCCTTCCTTTGCTGACTCCCCCGCTGTGGGCACCCTTGGGCTTGTTGAAGTCCTTCCAGAGGTGTAGCAGATGTGAGTAAATGTGCAGGAGACAGGGCCTGAGCAGGACAAATGCAATGGGAGAGGCACCTCCCTTGTTACAGAAACCAAGCCTGTCACGGCAGCTGAAGGCGGCGTCCACCTTGGGGGGCCAGCCTTGCCACACTGTTTGACACTTCATACTCCTTGTGTCCATCGTTTGCATTTTAGTTCCTTTACTGCCTAAAGATCATTTTTCTTGCTAGGGACAGTAAGCAGAACAGGCATTAAGGAGCAGCACACCTTTCTGTTCAAATTGATGTATCATCCTGAAGCTGCAGTCCCATTGCTTCCCAAGTCCTGTGTTTGTAGCTTTGTTTGCCGGGCTCAGCACCTCTGAGTCTTTTGCATTCATGTTTGGATCCATACCCTTCTGCTTTCATTTTGGAATATCTTTTTTAAAATCTGACTTCACCACAGAGCTCCTTCTACAGTCATATCACTATTTCGGTGTGCCCCCCTTTGCTTCTTCATAGGGACCCTTTCTAACAGTGGCAGCAGCAGCATTTCTTGGTAGTGTCCTGCTGGCGAGGCCATACAATCGTTCCTAACTTTTCTCTGAAATCTCCTGAAGTCTGTATAGTGACTGTTACCCTCCTTGACTTCACAAACACTAAGATAACATAGTCACTTGATGTCCAAAATTCCTGTGGGTTTTCAGTTCCCCAGCCATTTGGATAGAATCAGGTCCAGAGCAGCAGTTCTGGCGCTTTCCCCATCTTCTGAAAGGTTAAATTCATCAGGGCAAGTGAAGCCTTTATCTTGTGCTTTTAGGAGAGAGCAGAGTTGGATTCTCAAATCAAAATAAAGCCCGTGTGTGGCACGGAGTAGGCACTTACTGCTTATTGACTGACAGCTGTTGTCTCAGCACAGTTCCATTTTTGTCATTGACCTGAATTGAGCACTCCTCTTTCATTCCTTGTATATGGCTGTGCAGACTGTAGCACACTCCCTACAGCAATAATTAACGTTTTCTCCCCCATTGTCCTAAAGCTAAGACCTAAACAACATTTTTAAGTTACTCTTCCAGCCTGCATGGTTGTGTCTGTGTTTTCCATTTGAATTTCAGTTTGGGGGCAGCTAGGTAGCTCAGTGGATAGACCTCCCACCTTGGAGTCAGGAGGACCTGAGTTCAAATCCAGCCTCAGCCACATGAAACTTACTAGCTGTGTGACCCTGGACATGTCATTTAACCCCGATTGCCTCACAAAAATAAGTAGATTTCAGTTTGGCAGCATCTAGTTGAAGATGTCACCTCATATCTAAAACGGGTTCATTAGTTCTGTCTGTGTAGTGCTGAGACTCGAGACTCACCTTTTAGATCAATTCTCTTGTATCTTAAGCACCAAGTGAACTATGATTTAGTACTGTTTGTGAAACTGTTTAAAGAAATTCCACTTAAATTCAATTTCTGTGAAACAAAAACAAGATGCTTCGGTGAAATGCTGTTCTTTGCTAATCTTTTTTTTGAAGATTCATTTGAAGAATTTCTACAAAGTCGTTCTCCAATCTTCCTAGTGCTTTAATTTTTCTTACTGATGTCTTTCCCCTTTCAGGCCTTCAGTGGTGGCTATTACAGAGGCGGGTTTGAACCCAAAATGACAAAGCGAGAAGCTGCACTAATATTAGGAGTAAGGTAAGTTAAACGCCTCATACCACTATCTTGCTTTGAAGTCACACTGGTGCCCAGGGTACATGAGCAAATGGAATTTCCACCATCGAGAGGGAGAAGATTTGATCGTGTGTCTTACATGACTGCGGTAGCTTGGGAAAGTCAAGCTCATCTGTTGTCACCCCTGTTGTATCCATATGGTTCCTTGCCTTACACATTTTTAAAGCCACTGCAGTCACTACAGAAGGGCAGCATGGGAGGAAGCATTTGTATGTGGAAGTAAATGGAACCATCTTATTCACCTCGCTACTTCGAGAGTCTTAGGACAGAACGGTTTGAGGTGAATGTAGGAGGCAGCTTGATTTACATCATTTTTATCATCTAATTTAGTATATATGAGTCCTACATTAGCCTTTATTAACATAATTTTTCAATAAAATTTAGTACAGTCTTATTGTAAGCATTTTTAAAACCTACAAAACCTATTTTGTGGGGATGTGAGGTGTCATTCTCCATAACTAACAATGTCTCGATGGTGATTGATAGGCTGAAAGCATCAGACCAGACCTTTGATAGAAAGAGTGCTGGATTTGGTGTCAGAGGACCTGGTAAAATGCCAGCTATTATTTATAATCTGTCTTTGGCCAGCCACGTTGCCTCACTGGGACTCAGTTTGCACATCTAAACTACCTCTCGTGTCCTACACAGCTCTAAATCTTTGATTCTGTGGTCTGCATCTTTATGGTTTTAATCCTAGCATGTTTTTTATAAGGTCTTGGGTCTTTGACAACATAGTAATTTTAATGTGACTTCCTAAAAGGAGTGGAGTATAGATAAATAGACTTATGAAATATAATTGGATTACATCTGTGGTGATCCTCAGAATAGTTATATTGTCCTTATTTCATAAATAAGCTTATTTAAGAGGTAAAAGAAAATGAGTGATATCTTTGACCAGAATTTCATCTAGAGTAGTGACATATAGCATTTTCATTTTGAGCAGGTCTAAGTATTACTCGTTCTTTGTCTTAATGAAAATGTTCCCCAGAGGCATTTAAAAAGTCTTAGAAATGCCCTTTTTCCAGAACAAGTGAGGTGATCTTGTTCTTAGCAAAAATCAGTTGGACAACATGGACAACTGTTTTTAGAATTCACATATCTTAAACAGTTCTCCTTTGTGTCACTGGCCAATTGTTGTATTCTTAGGAAGTTTTCTGTTGTGCAAACTTCCTTTCGTTTCCAAATACTGAAATATTAAGCAATTTTCTGGGAATATTTATAATATTGTGTTTACTTTTCATGTTCAAAAGACTCCTTTTGTTGGCTTTGTCTAAGCAAATGAATATTTTGCTTGGTTAACTTGAAGTTTTACTCATATTTTAATGAATCCCAGCAATGGGGCTTATATAGGACCTTGTACTATGCAATGACCCTCAAACTCTCAATATCGTAGTCATTTCTGCATATACTTGATGTGGCATGTATTCATCAATAGTTGTTTTTTTAAAAAGTCTCTTTTGGCCCGAAGTCAGTGATTTTTCTTTATTAGCCCTACAGCCAATAAAGGGAAAATTAGGGATGCTCACCGGCGAATCATGCTTTTAAACCACCCAGACAAGGGTAAGTAGTCATTATACTCTTAATGTAAACCTTACTGTTAATGGTGATTGTTAAACTACAAAATAGAAAAGCAGAATTCACTCTCTATTCTTGGTGGTTTTTTCAAGGGAAAAAACTTTAAGTTAGTTATACATTTCAGGTGAAATGTCATGTGTTCAGTATTTTTTCAAAATAAGTATTTTCATTCATGTCCAACTCTTCATGACCCCATTTGGGGTTTTCTTGGCAAAGATACTGGAGTGGTTTGCCATTGACTTCTCCAGCTTATTTTACAGATGAGGAAACTGAAGCAAACAGGATGAAGTGACTTGCCCAGGGTCACACATCTGATCAGTGTCTGAGGCTAGATTTGAACTCAGAAAGATAAATCCTTCTGACTCCTGGCCTGGCACTTTATCCACTGTGCCACCTAGCTGCCTTTTTTCTAAAATATTTGGGGAAATGGTTAATTATTAAAATTCAAAATGCTCCCACTAAGATCTTAAAAATTGTTAACTGGCTGTCATTGCCCAACATCCATCAGATGCAGGTAGATGTCCAGCAGCCTCACTTCCCATCAGGCCTTCTGGGTTTTTTGGCTATCTATTTCAGGAAAGAGTTTTATCCTAGAATATGATCTTTCTTTGGTTGCAGGTTGGGAGATCATACACACTAGAATTCCTTCCTTTCAGTGACTTAGTGTTTCCTAAATGGCCAATCAGAATGATCCTGGGGAAAACTACTGAGGTGTGACAAATGAACTCCTCAAGGGGCCTTAAGTATCACCTCATTCTCTGGATCCCTCTAAAGTCAGGCAGCTGAGGAGCTAAATGGTTGTTTTGTGTTCTGCTTATCTGGGACAGAGTTAGAACCACAATCCTGGACCCTTGACTGTGAGCATTTGACTTAGTATCTTCAGAGAATATACATACACACCTGACCAGACAGCTCATTTGTGGACTAGTTACTTGTAGGCATATAATTATTTTAAAATAGTTCCATATTTCCTCGACAGCGAGAAAATATCTCACTGTGTGATCTTTCAAGAAGCAGATTTGAGAGAAAAAGTTTCAGCTGCTAAAAGTAACTTTTATGTAAAATTGTTATAAGTAACCAAAGGAATATTACTTGGAATACTAAATCAGATGAAATGTTAACGGGTTTCTGGACATCTGATGCAGTAACACATCACTTCTCCATCACCCTCAGCTATTTAAAGAACAGCTAAGAATCAAGTAGTGGCAAAGAGGTTTCTCACCCATAGGAAAGGCTCAGAAGGGGTTCCTTCCTTTCCTTTTTTGCTGATTATCTTAAACATAGTACTAATGACTGGTTATCTGGTTTCCTAATCCACAGCATATTAGGAGCCCCAAAAAAGTAAGCATTGGCTATTGGCTAAATGAGGAATAATGTGAAAAGCAGACACAAGTACTCAGAAGGCCTGGGAGTTGAAGATCTTTCTATGTAGAGGCAAACAGCCCTAGACGCATCAGTTGTCCATTAGAACAACAGAGTTTGCAATATATAATAGTCATTAATGTTTGTAATGATGGCTAAGTCATCAAGAATACCTCTAATTGTGTTCCCCAGTTTGCATTTAGCACAGCATTTGTAATATTTTAGAAGTTTCTGTCAAAAATGTTAAAAGTACACATGTTCATGATTAGTAGGACAAACTTTCTTTTTATCTTGTGAATTCACTTTTATGGAAAGTCTAATTCTTTGCTAATGCCAGCTAACAGGAATTTTATTTATAATTTTTGAAGTAAATATTTCATGTTGTCTATGTGTGAGGATACAGTTCAAGTATTATTTAGTGGCAAAAGAAAAAATATGTATTTTATTCTCTGGTTAGGTAAGACATTTCTTTGCCCAACCTCCATAACTATTCCTTTTCTTTTTTTCTTATAGGAGGATCTCCTTATATAGCAGCCAAAATCAATGAAGCTAAAGATTTATTAGAAAGTCAAGCTAAGAAGTAAAATTAATACACAGATAATTTTAAATTTACATATATATATACATCAATTGCTTTATGTATAGGAGTCCTGATGTTTTATAATAATTTCATAAAAGCTGTAATATTTCTTTACTGGTTGCATTAGTTTGGTATAATTTGGGTTTTTTCTTTTCATTAATTTTGGTGCTATTACAATTATTAGATTACAAATGTTATGGTCTTACAAATTAAGAATATGCTTCCTAATGGGAATTAACTAGAACCTGAAACGTGGTACCTTAGTTAACTTACCTGCAGTACTTTATATTAATATAGCACATTGATTCCACAAGGCTCAAATAACTTTACAGTTTTATGAAATAGATAATGTTCATACATCAGAAATATAATCAGCATAATAAGTTGTGTAAGAGAAGGGTGTCTGTCGATAGGATCCTGGTTTATCGTGACATTTTTTGCATTAAGTACACTGTCCCATAACTTTGCAAATTTTTGTTCTTTAGAATTTTTTAAACAATTTCTCTAGAACACTTTTACCTTTTAAAAAAATGCAGTCTTCATTGTTTAGTCATACAAAATTCATCCTTGTGTAAAATTCCCAGACTTACCAGTGATCCATAACAGCTTTAACACTAGTAGGGAGGAAGACAAAACAAACTTGTCAGGTTCAAACCGTTGGAATCAGAAAAACATGACCGTACTTGCCGCTGGGGACTTCAAGTGCATCTGATCTCATCGATGTGAATGTTCCCTCCAGTGATTAAGAGCTCAACCTGTCCATGACTGCCCATCCTGTGCAGCTCTGACATGTCATTCAACAGGCGTTGGTAATGTGTGAAAAGAACTTAGTGAATTGTAAAGTGCCCCCTAGGTGCTGATTACTGTAAGTGTGCAATCTGGTAGCATTCTAACCTTTGGAAACCAGTAACTCTTATGCAAGTGGACCCTGCAGTGTGCAAAGGATAACGAACTTGCCCAGTGGACCTGTGCAAAAGCAGGTATTCTAATTTGGATAGCAACGTTTTCCATGATAAACGAATCATCTTGTACTTTTTAATACTTAAACATGATTAGCTACAGAATTGGGGGGGTAGAGTTTATTAAAGCAGATTGTCAGGAACTGAGAGGATCAATACTTGGCAGAAAATCCAGAAAAAGTCATTTTTGTTTTGCACACGTTGAATATGGATGTGTATCCGATCTGAGAATTCACAACACTTTAATGTTGACTTCATTTAAGAAGATTAGGAAACCTCCAGGTTTTCTACCTTGCTTCTGTGTTCAGTTTGTACTTTGTGTATCGGTTTGAAGACATACAGAGCAATGCCATCCTAAAAAACCAGTCATTTCCCTGAGTAGGACCAAACCAAAAAGGGGCCTTGGTTTCTATCTTTTCTTCAGTCTAGGGTGATGATAAACCAGATCTTGTTTCCATGAGCAAGCAACTGGATATTAGGTAACAGTATCAAAACTTGAAATTAAGATTTGCCAAGAATAAACTAATTCAGAAAAACCATAATAAATCTAAATTAAGAATTCACTGTACCAAGATCTTCTGCTATGCATTTCATGCAGGCATACCTAGTTCTTATGTAGCAGGAGCAAGCTTAAAATAAAGGTGACTCGAAGCAGAGGTTAGTGAACACTAGGCAGTAGCACTGCAACAACTTTTTCAGGGACCCTCATCCAAGGAATGGAGTAGATGGGCAGAACGGTTGGGGAAGATCTTGGGAAACTCCAGTCACAGACCCCCAGGCTATTGGCCATGGTAAGGAAGGGTGATAAGTGTCGATTTCAGCAGTGTGGGCATTGTCTCCACAGATGCCAGTCACCATCCCTACACATTGCAGATTGGTTGACAGTTGGTGGAGCCAGAAGGGTTCATCTTTTCCTGACCTGTAGCCAGCCCCATGATGAGCTTTTCTGAGCTCTGAAGTCAGGCCATGTTGAGCCATTGGAATATAACTTTAGTGGAGATTTATATGGTCATGATTATAAAATCATTACATTTTTACTGCTGGAAGGGGCTTTAGTAGAGATCAAGTCCGTTCCAGTAGAGGTGGGGGGTCTTGTTGGTATTAAGTCTTAACAGTTTTAAAATAAAACTACCCGATTACTTTGTGTTAGAGAATGTTGATTTGTGATCCTTAGAAAGGATTTTTGTAGAATGCTGGATGAGGTTGAGAAGGCATGTAGGTATGATTCTTGGGACCTGCATTAAATTGAGTGCTCAAACAGATGAAACTGAATCCAAGTTTAATAGCATAAGCGGTTTCATAATTACAGCTCACTATAGGCCTCTCTGCCTCTGTTGCTCTTACTTCCTTGTGACTTACTGCTCTAGTGGTGATTGGCCATCGGTAGCTCTGGAGAGGTGGGGAGAGATAAGGACAGAGTTAGTGCACAGCTCCTCCTAAGAGGAAGCTAGCCTTTTGACTGAATCCAAACTTCATAGAACAAATCCCCCTTAATCAAAGGATTCTTCCGTAAAATTTGGACTCAGTCAAAAGGCTGCACTCAAGGACCCAGAAGGCCACATGTGGCCTGGAGGCCTCAGGTTCTTCACTCCTGGGCTAGACTTTAGAATGCACAGCTGAAAACATTCCATGGTCATGATGGCTACTGTAGGCATCGCTCTTAGCCAAGGTTCTTTGCAATAAATAGAGGCCAGTGATTTCTTTAGTTCGTGTTAAAGTCTTTTCCAAGCCTTCGACTTCCTGCAAGCAACCTTTATCTACTGAGACTACAAAGTTAACCTGTCTCCACACACTGAGGGTCTACCTAGGGACTTGAGGCATAGACCTGGGTTCCAATTCCAGCCCTACTCTGTACTACCTTAGTAACCTTGGACAAATAATTTTATCTCTCTGCTTCTTCATTGTAAAAAAAAAGAGGTTGGGCTAGATAAACTCTAAGGTCCGTTCCAATTAGCAAGGATGTTTGTGTGAGCTGAGCTGACCTAAACCTGGATGTAAGCGAGTAAGTCACCTGCTATTTAATAGGTCTGTTGCTCAAAACAGTTTCTGACTTTAGCGAATCAACAAAGTCACCTTCGGGTATGTTGCTATGGGGGCTTAAAGAAATACACTTGTATAATAAGTGAGCAATCCTACCAGGAGATAGGAAGGAGAAGAAGGTGGTGACTTCAGTCATTCAGAAGGCCCCTGAAAGTCAGCAGAAAGCAAGAAGAGCTGTCCTGAAACCTGCTGTCAAGTACCTTATGGAAAATGAACATTACTGATGACCCAAACTTCATTGTCTGGCTGTTACTAACTGTAGAAGCTAGCTGCTGCTAGCAGACTGTGACAAGTGACAGCGAAATAGCAATGCAAAAACTCAGCGGTCTGAGGCCTGTTAGTGTAAGGGCAAACGTCCCTGCCCCCTCGGTAACCACTGAGGCCCATGCGAGGCTTCATGACAGGAACTGGTTCATGCTCGCCGTGATGCCTGGGCAGCTTGGTGGATAGAGCGCTGGCCCTGGATTCAGGAGGACCTGAGTTCAAATCTGGCCTCAGATACTTGACATTTACTAGCTGTGTGAACCTGGGCAAGTCACTTATCCCCATTGTCTAGCCAAAGAACAATGAAACGATAACAAAAAAGCATGATGCCCATGACTTTTTAAGAAAAAGCTACGCCCTGTGTAGGATTCTGTTTATGTCTCCAGAGAAACTGCACTCTGACACAGGGTCTCATAGCCTGGAGGTGACCCTGAGCTCATGAACACTCATCCTACCGATAAGTGCTTACTATGAGCCAGGCACAGTGCTGGGGTCTGGGGATACAGGGACGAAAAAAGGGTCCTTGTTGAGTTGTAGTCTTTGGGGGGAATATATACATGGAAAGCGTCTGCTAAAATATACATGGTACACTGAGGAGGAGGCTCCAGCAAAAGGGGGCATCGAAAAGCCCTGATGCTGAAGATGGCGTCGTGAGTAGAGAGCGAGTGTCGAAGGCACTGGGGAGGGAGCGTATTGCAGACGAGGTGAAGGCACAGAGATGCGTGTGGGGCACAGCAAGGAGGGGCTGGAGTGCGTGAAGAGGAGTGGTGTGTAGGAATGGAAAACCAGACTGGGGCCAAGCTGTAAAGGGCCTGAAGTGCCAGACAGGATTTTGTATTTGACCCTAGAGGTAATAGGGAGTCGCTGGCGTTAATATTGAATAGGGAAGTGACAGGGCCAGGCCTGTGCTTTAGGAAGACTGCGGGGCAGCTGTGTGGTTGACCAATTGGGAGGCTGTTGGCAGTGGTCCATGTGAGAGCGGATGAGTCTTTGCACCGGGGTGATGGCCGTATCAGTGGAGAGAAGGGATAGATGACAGATGTGGAGGTAGCATAGACTAAGCTGGAAATCTAGAGGTGGACTGCATTTCTTCCACGTAAGCTGGAGAAGCCAGTTAGCATCAATTTGGTCACAAAGGAATGACTTTTTTTAGCCAGTCACAAGTCAGGAAGATCAGGATCTAAGCATCCTAAGTTTGAGATGGGCACTGGTTGAGAACTTCCCCATCCATCCCAGAAATACTGTAAATACTGAGTGTATAGCGTGTGTTCTGACGCATGGAAGTGGGATTTTTATTTTAAAGGGTAAATAAACATTTTGTGATGTTGGTGCTACAAAGGGCAAAATTTAAATTATTTGAAAAAAAAATCTCTCTCCCTGAATACTCAGAAGTTGTCCCATGTTTGTTGTATACTTTTTTTTGGGGGGGGGCTAGGTAATGGGGTTAAGTGACTTGCCCAGGATCACACAGCTACTGTCAGTTGTCTGAGGCTGGATTTGAATTCAGGTCCTCCTGACTCCAGGGCCAGTGCTCTATCTACTGTGCCACCTAGCTGCTCTAGATGTATGCTTTTAAACAGCATGGAACATCACGATACGTTTCACTAGCTACAGTAACAAAATTATTCTTGAGTTTTCAGTGAGCCTGTAATGTTAACATTGCCCTTTCAGGTGCTAAAAGGCGTGGTGTTCAGATGGAATTATCTGATACACATCATTAATAAAATTTCAAGATGCAATCAAGAAGGAACCTGGGGATATATAAAGAATGGAGCTTTTTAGGGGGAAGGAAAGCAGGGAATGAAGGTATCAGTGCAGACAAAAAGGAAATCTGTAAATTCAGGGTAAACACAACAAAAACCTAATGGATGCTACAAGAAATCCTGGGCTGAGGGTAACCTTGGATACCAGGAACCTCAGATAACCTGAGCCCAGTTGTCCCTGCCTCTTGTTGCCAGGGCTACAGAATCCAGGCTGGCTAGAGAGTGCTGTGCACCTGCCTAGGGTCTGTTACCCTAGCAACAGGACATAGGAAACCAGGGCTGGAGGCTCACATTATCCATTAGTCCTGACCCTGGAGTTTGAGCCCTGGTGTTTGAAGGGCCATTGGGAACATGTTAACAATTTAGCCCATGTTGCCCCCTTAGCCGTCACTCTAGATACAATGATATGGAACCCTAATGCATTTGGCTGCTATGACATTTGCCTTAAAACTTTCAAATGTTTCTTAAACTGCATCTCACGGCCAAGTTCTAAAGGAGAACTAAGGTGTAGTGTTGCAGTGTTCCAACAATTCCCGTCTCAGAATAACAGTAGCTGGCATTTACTCTAAATGTCTAATTGTCTCATCTGATCCTCACAACAAGCCAGTGATGAAGGTATTACAGGTATTATTTTTTTAGCAGTTGATTTTTTAGTGTATATGGCACTCCCAATGAGTCAATTCCCTCCACCAATGCAGATCAGCATTTGCTCTGAAACTTATAGTCCTACAGAGTTGCCTAGGGAATTGAAAAATTAAGTGATTTGCATAGGATGCAAATTATCATGTTAATATCCATATGGGCATTGAGGCTATCTTTGGTGAAGGTATGAGAAGGGAAAAAGGCTTTTGCAAACAGTAATCTATAGTAGTCAGTCATATGATTAACTAAAAAGTATAAGAAATACAAGAGCCCACTGCACTTACTGTTTATGAACCATTAAAAAAAAGCATTTGATTACAAAATGCCAACTTAAAGGCATCACTCTGACATAGTGTCTTCCATTGTTCCTTGAAAGATGTGAAAGAGAGAACTTTATCAACCCCTGATTATTGTCGAGCAAGAAACAAAATGGAGATATAGGCTCATCAAACATAATTACTGCCATTATAGAGGGTGTCTAGCACAGAGTCCAAATGGAAAAGACATTCCCTAGATGATGAAATCATCCAGATGTTCTTGTTTGTCAGTGACATTGGACTGATTGCATTAAGCCCTGGAACATTGTACAGCCTCCTAAATGAGAACCAGAATTACTTGAAAGAGTTTGGCCTATCGATACAGGAAGAACCCAGTGAATGAAAAAAGCCTGCTGTCCAGACCAAGCTGAACAATTAATAAAACTTCCACCAACACGTGTGTGTGTGTATGTACATTGCATATATATATGTATGTGTGTGTGTGTATATATGTATGTGTGTGTGTGTGTGTGTGTGTATATATATATATGTATATATATATATATATAAAATACATATATATTTATAGACAGTGACTATATGTAAGATAGTGACTTAGGCACAGAATCGAACAGCACAAGCTGGTTTACCTTTGGGGAATTGGGCTGTTTTTAATGAGCCCGAAAGATTCCTGAAACAGTATTTTTTAACATCATTGCTCTTCTGGTGATACAACATGGCTGTATGTCATGGTACCCAGAAACCTGAGAGATGAAATTGCAAGTTACCAGAAGGAACGGTGAGTGCGAAGTATGAGAGGGCTGCACACACTAAAAGTGAGGAATTGTGCAAAAGAAGGAGTGTAAAGGGTGGAATTGGGTGTTTGGGAAAAGGAGAAGTGGACTGGGCACGTGGCAGGAATAAGAGAAATTCATGCTCTAGCGATTGAGAGAGAGACCCAAGCACAGTGGTAAGATCCTCACTCTCCTACGGTGGAGGACAAGAGTCTTATGGACTACCAGGCATGAATAGGTTGTCATCTGCACCGTTGGAGGCGGTGCCCACGTCGTGGAGAACACCGATAAATGCAAGTCAACTTTGTTTCAAGTCTGTACCATGCCCCACACACACCTTCTGAAATCAGCAAAACAGCAAAGAAGAATCATTGTAACTTGTGGTGCAGTGAAA